AATGGCTTTACCCACTATGCCACAGCACTGACCCTATAACTCTGCCTCCCAAATAAATAAACAAATATTTAAAATATTTTATATATATATATATAAATACTGCTTGGGATACCTACATCTCCTGAGTCCCTGAGCTTGAATCTCAGCTCTGCTTCTCATTCCAGCTTCCTGCTCATGTGCACTATGGGAGGCAGCAGATGATAGTCCCAGTGCTGGGGGTCCTGCCACTCATATGGAGACCCAGATGGAGTTCTGGGCTCCTGGCCTCAGCCGGGCCCAGCTCTGGCTATTGCAGGCATTTGGGGAGTGAACCATTGGATGGAAGAGCTCTCTTTGTCTCTATCTACCTACCTACCTACTTTCTTACCTTTCAAGTAAAATGCAAAAAGAAAATTGTATCACCCCGTCTCTTCCTTAGCTTTGCCAGGTTGTTTGTCTGAATGTTCATTTGCAAGTCCTGCTCTTTTTTTCCTTTCCGTTTTGTTGCTTGCTCCCCACTCTCCCAGTATTCGAGGTGTTCTGTTTCCTTACTGCCTTCTCTCCTTCCTCCAATCAGATGCCACTCATCCCTGCCATCGCCCCAAAGTGACAGCCCCGGGAGTTGCCTTCCTGTGCCTCTCTGGCGTCTGTCTTGGGAGCTGTGCCCTCTCAGAACTGCCCAGCCTTGGATCCCACTAGGGAGGTCGGGTCCTCTGTGGTCCTCTGTGCTGGGCAGTTCCTCTCCAGTCCCTCAGGGTGGCGCTGAATCTCGCGGGACCGGCTGGAGGGCACAGGGCTGGCAGGGCTCACAGGGCTCGCCACTGTCCCAGGTCTTTCTCTTCAATGTCACCTCCCGTCTCGAGGTCCTGCGCTCGGCTGCAGCCTGAGCTCATCTGTGAGCTCCAAGTCTTTGCACAGCCACACATGTCGTCTTCTCCCTGGGAGTGGACGGCAGCCTGGCTGCTGGTGGGGCTCTGGGGTCACGGGGCCTTCCTGGTGGGCTGTTTCCCCAGTCTGCCCAGCCCCTGGCGTCCCACCTGCAGGCTGTGTTTCGTTATGCGGGTGTCAGTCTTTCTTCCTGGCTGGAGGCTTTGAAGATCTCTCTCTTTGACCTTGGAGTCCAGGGCATGCTGAGGTTCATCAGCCCGACCTTGAACTTGGGGATGTCTTACCTTCTGCTGACCGTGAGACAGTTCTTTGCTTCGTATTTCAGGGCGCTCTGTGTGAGTCTCAACAGTGATCCTGTGCACGCTGTCCACTTACTGTGTTTAAAAGAAATCATTTCATTGTGATTGAAAGGAGAGATAGAAACAGAGAGAGAGAGAGAGAGAGAGAAAGAGAGAAGTCTTCCATCTGCTGGCTCACTCCCCAATGTGCCCACAACAGCCACGGGCTGGACCAAGCCGAAGCCAGGAGCTGGGAACTCAATCCAGGTCTCCCATTTGGGTGGCAGGGACCCAAATACTTGAGCCATTATTGCCTTCCTCCCAGACAGTGCATGAGCAGGAAGCTGGCTCAGGAGTGGAGCTGGGTCTTGAACCCGGGCCCTGTGACGTGGGATGCGGGCATCCCAAGTGGTGCCTTTCACTGCTGTGCCAAGTGCCTGCCCTGTTGTCTGCGTCCTTAATGCAGCTTAAGGCTCTGAGCCCTACCTGGTCTGGCTGGAAGTAGCGATGTTGCAGTGCCTCCTCAGAGTGGGGGGTGAGCCAGGGTTAACACTCGAGCCTCCCGGAGCGCCGCCCCTCCCTCCAGCTCCCAGCAACCCCCAAGGGCTTGCATCCACCGTGGACAAGGAGCTGGATGCTTGGCGGATGTGGGTGCTGTTCTCGCCCTCCCTTGGTCCTGCTGCCATTTATTTCTGAGTCTTTCTTTCCAGTGATCTCTCGCTCAGATCCTGCTCTAATGTCCAATAAATAGAAAGCGAGTGGGTAAAGACAGCAGGCGCTCTTCCACCGCTGTCTTGGGAGAGAGGAGGAACGAGCTCCATCGGGCACCCGTGGCTCCCGCCTGCTCGGGAGTCGCGGCCAGCCCTGGCCCAGGGCCCTGTCATTCCAGGAAGAAAGGAAGGGCGGTTATTAAGGGCAGCTGCCAGGCACTCCGGCCACCTGCCAGGGCTCCGGGCCACGTCCTCTGATTTTGAAAAGCGAAAAGCCACAGCTTTGTCCTCCGACCACAAAGCCTCCCTTTCTGCCCTTCCCAGGCCTGCGGAAGAGAAAACAAATGAAACCAAAACCAGAAAACCACACGCATCTCAACCCCCCTCTACCCTGGGGAGGGGGTAATGGTAGAGCAGCAAGGTCAACCCAAGGTGAAATGACAAAGTATCTTGGGCGAAACAGTGTCTATTCCTGGCTAATTTAAAGCAATTCTTTAAAGAAAAGAGATACCAAAAATGATCTGTGGAAGACCTGAAAGGGAAAACCCTGTAGGACCTCTGTGGGGCTGTCATCTCCTGTGGTTCCTTTTCTTTTTAAAGATTTTATTTACTGAAGAGGCAGAGTTACAGACAGAAAAAGGGAGACAGAGAGAGAGGTCTTCCATCTACTGGTTCACTCCCCAAATGGCCACAACTGTTGCTGTGGGGCTGATCTGGAGCCAGGAGCTTCTTCCAGGTCTCCGACACAGGTGCAGGGGCCCAAGGACTTGGGCCATCTTCTACTGCTTTCCCAGGCCATAGCAGAAAGCTGGATGGGAAGTGGAGCAGCCAGGACTTGAACTGGCACTCATATGGGATGCCGCTGTTGCGGGTGATGGCTTAACCCACTGTGCCATGGTGCCAACCCCTTCTGTGAAGTTTGGAGATCTTTATAAGTTCTCATTAGAAATGTTAGGATGGGGCCATCGCTATGGCAAAGTGGGTAAAAATGTAGGTGTCGGTTTGAGTCCTGGTCGCTTCACTTCCAATCCAGCTCCCTGCTAATGTGCCTGGGAAAGCAGTGGAAGATAGGCCCAAGTGCTTGGGCCCCTGCACCCACGTGGGAGACCTGGAAGAGGCTCCTGGCTCTGGATCGGCGCAGCTCCAGTCATTGCAACTAATTGGGGAGTGAACCAGGGGGTGGAAGACCTCTCTCTCTGTCTCTCTCTACCTCTGCCTCTCTATAACTCTGCTTTTCAAATAAATAACTAAGTCTTTCAAAAAATAAAAATTTGTGAAAACACGTCTTATGGAAGAATTATGCATGGTGTCAAAAATTATTTCCACTCAGATAAACTTATCTTTATGTTATCCTTTTTAATATTTATTTATTTGTAAGGCAGAGTTGCAAAAAGAGAAGGAGATCTTCTATCCACCGATTGACTACCCAGTGGTTGCAATAGCCAGGCTGAGCCAGGCCGAAGCCAGGATCCAGGAACTCCATCTGGGTCTCCCGGGTGGATGCAGGGTCTTAAGCACTTGGGCCATCTTCTGCTGCTTTGCTAGGTGCATTAACAGGGAGCTGGTTAGGAAGTGGAGCAGCTGGGGCTCAAACATGTTCATATGGGATGCCGGCATTACAAGTGGCAGTTTAACCACTGCACCACAACACCAGCCCCTAGCCTGTCTTCTAGTTCTGTTTTCCACAAGGGTCAGAAATGCCCTCGCATTTAGCTAGTGCAAGACACGGAAGGAAGGCACTAAGTGCAGCTCTTCATGCTTGTTTGTTTTTACTGATGAGGCAGGAGAGTGGAGACTATTGCCTTTGGAAGGTCCAGGTACTGAGTTTGAGCTGGAAAAAACAGAGACATAATGCTGAGCCTTCCGTTCTGTGCAGACTCTTAAAGATGGCTACAAAGTGGTGTCCCATCTTGGGGCTGGATGCCTCTGAAACAGAGCTTTCTTGGGGTTCCTCACTGCCCAGGCACGGAGAGACCATGGGTCTAGAATTCATGGATTCAATCTGTCACAGATTGAAAATATTTGGGGAAAAAAAAGTGTTTTTTTCTTAAATCTGCCCTAAACATGTATGGGCTATTTTTTCTCACTTCCTAAACTATGCAGCCTTCCCACAGCATTTTCATTGTACTAGATATTGCAGTAGAGATGATTTAAAGTGCACGGGAGGACACTGCCCCATTTAATGTAAGAGACTTGAGCATCTGGGGCTGGTGCTGTGGCATAGTGGGTAAAGCCACCACCTGCAGTGCCTGCATCCCATATGGGCACCGGTTTGAGTCCTGGCTGCTCCACTTCCAATCCAGCTCTCTGCTGTGGTCTGGGAAAGCAGTGGAAGATGGCCCAAGTCCTTGGGTCCCTGTACACACATGGAAGACCCTGAAGAAGCTCCTGGTTCCTGGCTTCGGATTGGCTCAGCTCTTGCTGTTGCAGCCAATTGGGGAATGAACCAGCAGATGGAAGACCTCTCTCGCTCTCTCTCTTTCTGCCTTTCCTTCTCTCTGTGTAACTCTTTCAAATAAATCCTTAAAAAAAAAAGAGAGGCCGGCGCCGCGGCTCACTAGGCTAATCCTCCGCCTAGCGGCGCCGGCACACCAGGTTCTAGTCCCAGTCGGGACGCCGGATTCTGTCCCGGTTGCCCCTCTTCCAGGCCAGCCCTCTGCTGTGGCCAGGGAGTGCAGTGGAGGATGGCCCAGGTGCTTGGGCCCTGCACCCCATGGGAGACCAGGAAAAGCACCTGGCTCCTGGCTCCTGCCATCGGATCAGCGTGGTGCGCCGGCCGCAGCGCGCCGGCCGCGGCGGCCATTGGAGGGTGAACCAACGGCAAAGGAAGACCTTTCTCTCTGTCTCTCTCTCTCACTGTCCACTCTGCCTGTCAAAAAAAAAAAAAAAAAAAAAAAGAGAGAGAGAGAGAGACTTGAGCATCTCTGGGCTTGGGTCTCTGCAGGGGTCCAGGAGCCAGTCCCCCGTGGGTGCTGAGGGCCGACTGCCCCTTCCTTGGCCCCATTGCTGTGGCTTCCGGTGCTGAACCGGTCCTGTGGAACAGTGGGGGAGACCAGCGGTGCTCCCTAGATAGAGCAGTGTGCATCTGGCTCTCAGCCACGTCCTCCATGGCCAGAGGCGCTGACAGTCTTGGTGTCTCTTTCAGGAGGGCCGGAGGCCAGGTCCTGGGGACGAGGTGCCTGCGGCAGGAGCACCAGCATGAAGGCGGCCGCTCCCCCCCGAACCAAGCATGGGCCCTTCAAGACCATGCCCCTCCGGTGGTCCTTCGGGCCCAGGGAGAAGCGAGCTGGGGCCTCTGCTGAGCTGGTCGAGTACCTGGAGTCCAGGCGCCGGCCTCGGTCCACGAGCCAGTCCATCGTGCCACTGCTGACGGGCGCCGCTGGCGGGGACGAGAAGTCAGCCTCACCGAGGCCAAATGGCACGGCTTCTGCTAAGGCTGAAGATGGCGGAGGAGCCAGCGAAAGGGCACTGTCCACGGTGCCCTGTCCCCAGAGCTACCCATGTCCAGGCCCGGTTCCTGGAAACCCAGCAAGGAAACTGAAGGATCACGTGAGTCAGGACATCCGGCTCCCCAAAAAGTTTGACCTGCCCCTTGCTGTGATGCCCTCGATGGAGAGTGAGAGACCAGCCCGGCCGGAGGGCCAGAGGGGCACGAGCTGGAAGGGCAGCGGCCACGTGGGAAGCCAGAGCAGCCCTCCTTCCCCCTCCACGGGGCTGTCCCAAGACAGTAGGGACAGTCGCCGGGATCCCACAGCCAAGGCAGGGGTGACTGTGGGGGACACCGAGAGGGACAGACCCTTCCAGGGCACGCGCACCCTCCTGAGATCTGTGTTTTGGAAGAAGGAGAACAGGAGGATCGAAGTGGCCGAGGGCTCCCCGCCGCCAGGGAGTGGCAGGCTGAGCCCTGCCGTGGACCTGCAGGCTCGAGGCTCGTCCCCCACCCTCAGGGACATCCAGTCTGCTCCCAGCTCCCTCCACCTGCCCCGCAAAGCCAGCAGGCCTCCGAGAGGCAGCGCCCTGGGCGTGGCACAGAGGTTTGTTCCTGGGGAGCAGACCCCCTGTGGCACCCTGCAGAGGGTGAAGTACCACACCCTTTCCCTAGGACGGAAGAAAAGTCTGCCGGAGTCCAGCTTTTGATAGGCGTTGCTGTGTTGCAGGAAGCTGGCACTTTGCACTGAGCAGCTGCAGGCAGCCCTTGTTGAGGGGGCATTTTCAGGAAGCCAGCTGTCTTGCGATCCCTGAAAAATCCTTTTTCTGGTCTCCGTTATCTAGACTTGCAAACACCTAATGTCCAAATAAACCCATGTCCAAATACCGTCTTGTATTATTGGGTGCTTTGCTACAATCTGGCCACTAGAGGGGAGCGTTGAGTCAGCATTCCCATTTCAGGGCAGGAACGGCTGTTTTGTTTAAATAAGTTCCAGGGCCAGTGTAACTGTACTACAGAGTGATGATTTGAGTGTGGGCAAGCCTTAGGGCATGGCTCTTTGGGTGAGCCTAGTTAATAAGAATCATCCACGTCATGTTGAATATTGTCATTGACTTCCCCCTTTGCTCTTTCTTTTTTTAAAAGACTCACAAGGGAAATCTTTTCCTTCTAATGCTTCTCTGGGGACATTAAAGATGCCAGAAAACAAAATAAAAGTGATGGAAAGACAAGATTCGAAGAGAGAGAGATGGGAGAAATGGTGGGGATTTTAGAAGAGAATTTAATATATATAACAAAATACTTATTAAAGTTTTTCAAGGTATTTTAAAAAGATAACTATTTTGATACTAAGGGGAAAAGGAGGTTCTTTTTATTTATGAAATCTATGTATAATTTTAATAAAGTCCTGTCGATGGAACACGTGTTGGGTGTCTCAATGATTCCAGTTGGTGAAGGAGCTTATCACTCCGGCTGTGGGAACTTGGCTGGTTACTGTAGCCATTAAAGTGGTGTCTCAGTTCTTTCTGAGACTTCGTGCTTTCTTTTTGTATCAGAAAAATCTGGTGTAGGAGAACCAGCCGCCAAAGGCAGGAGGGACCCAGAAACCCAAGGAAGACGCAGATGAGTGCAGGGTCATGAAACATGGGTTTCTATGCCAGAAGACAGGAAAAAGGGTTTTCTAGACAAGGGTGGCTACATGGAAGGCAGCTGGATTTTTTCAAGAAGAGACAGTTGTCCGTTCAGAACCACTTTGTTTACCCTATGTTGGGGCTTGGGTTGACTTCTGGGGTCGCCTAGAGGTCACGATGGGGAGTCACATCCGAGTCGCAGTTCCTGCCCAAGATGGCGGTCATGTCCAAGATGGCTGCCTTATGCCCAGAGGCATCCCTACAGCTTCTCATTCAAATCATGTGCTGTGTTCTAGAGCAGCAGGAGCCTCTCTCTGGAGGGCTTATATCTGCCAGGACCTGGGGATCGGAGCCTGCCTTGATGGGCTGGCTGTCCATTGACCGTGTTTCCTGAAGCTTTGCATAGCTGTTCTTAGAAACAACCTATCGTTGCGTAGTAAGCGGCTGTTAAGCCTGACCCCAGTCCTGGGGCTCAACAGCCGAGGTCCCCGGGGAGCCTTTCCTGAAATAGTCCATTTCCTATAAGCACTTGCTTTCTAATGGGATCATTTGCTCAGAACTCCTGGCCCCAAGAATGAAGTCTTCCCTCACCCGTGGATCATGACTCCTTGGCATGTCTCTCTGCCTACACAGGAAGAATTGAGGGCTTTTCTCCCCCAGTGAAAAATACCATCTTTGAGCAATGATTAGAAGATAGAAGGACTGAGGTGATCATTAAATAAAGGGGGAAGACCCAGAGGACAATCTACCCACCGGTAGATTGTGCACTTAGATTTCAGAAGGCTGTTTTCTTCAAGCCTTGAACCGATGTACATCCATCCGTCTGTCTACCCATCCATATCCATTTATCTACCCATCCACCTACTTATCCATCCATCCATCCATCCACCCATATATCCATCTATCTAGCCATCCACCTATTATTCATCCATCCATATACCCATTTATCCTCCCACCCACCAGCTTATCCATCCACCCAGCCTTTCATTCAATCACCCATCTACTCAATCAACATTTTCTGACTATACACTCTATGTCAGACATTATTCTAGGGATACTGAACTCACCAGGGTAGACAAAGTCCTTGCTCTCATGAACCCTGTGTTATAGTTAGGGAGACAGAGGGGGAAAAATTCTTTTTTTTACAGCTGTGAAGAAAATAAGGTGATGTTCCTAAAATAACTGGGAGATGAATGGTGATTACTGTGGTTCCAGTTCAAACCCCGTTGACTGTAGCCATTCTGCGCTCATAGTTAGAATTTTCTCTTGCAGGGAGCATTGGTGTCCTCTTGCTTGGCTGGGTGAAGTGTCCTGGTGGAGACAGGATTTACTGTGCCGATGTCTGTGTGTGAACTCTGCCCCAGGAGCACTCAGGAAGGAGCCCATCGAGATGGAGAGCAGCAGGGGAGATTCCAGGAAAGGAGGCAGGAGCTGAGTTCACTTTACAGCTCTTTAAACCTCTGGGAACCATGCATAAATCCGTGATTCTTTACCAAGCATGCGTTTTATTATCTCCTAAGAAGGGAAGAGACTCCTGGTGGCTACTTTCAGCCTCGCTGGGGAGGAAGCAGTCCCTGCGGTTCAGGGGTAGCCTCTGCTCCACCCAGACAGCTGGGTGCTGGAAGCACAGCTCAGTCAGGTTTGGACCCAGGGCTCCAGTGGGGGCCAGGGGGCCAAGGTGAGTACACAGTGAGCCATGATCTTGCTCTCGCCTTCTCCGGTTGTCTTCCCTGAGGATTCCCCTTCACTCTTTTTTTTTTTTTTTTTTAAGAGTTAGAGAGAGAGAAAGGTCTTCCTTCCATTGGTACACTCCCCAAATGGCCACCACAGACAGCACTGCGCCGATCTGAAGCCAGGAGCCAGGTGCTTCTGGTCTCCCATGGGGTGCAGGGCCCAAGCACTTGGGCCATCCTCCACTGCCCTCCCGGGCCACAGCAGAAAGCTGGATTGGAAGAGGAGCAACCGGGACCAGAACCTGGCACCCATATGGGATGCCAGCACTGAAGGCGGAGGATTAACCAAGTGAGCCACGGCGCCACCTCTCCCCCACCCCCAACTCTTTAACCTAAGGCAGTGCGCCATCCCTACCCAAGGTTAGTGATTTGCTGTCAGTGACTTCTTCAATGGCGGATCCATGGCTTCCCATAAATGCCCAATGCAATGGCTTCCTTTCCCACCATGGGTCATGATTTCCTTCTGGAAGGCTCTTTCTCTTTGACGTTTGTGACACCGCTCCTTCTTAGTTGCCTGACAATTCCTGGGGTGGGGACCAGAATGGCAAGTGAGAACAGGGAGCTAGGAAGGAATTTTGGAAGCAGACGACCATCCAGCCAGGCTCGGAGCATTGAAGGGTGTGCTCACATAGCTGGGAAAGCGGGCAGGGCCATGCCTTCACCCCAGCCTCCCGGTCCCCTCTCCAGAAGATGCAAATCACAGAAATGTCCTGTGGTTCTCTGAGTTTGTGGGGACAGCTCGTGTCAGGAGGGTAAGTGAGATGCCCTTGGGTATTCAAAGTCAAGTTCTAGCAACTCCCATGCACGAATGTCATTCAGCAATGTGGACAGGGATGAGTTCCAAGTTCCCGGCTTTGGCCTGGCCCAGCCCTGGCGGTTGTGGGCATTTGGGGGAGAGCACCAATACCTGGGAGATTTCCGTCTGCCTCTTTCAAATGAATATAAATACTTTTTTTGACAGGCAGAGTGGACAGTGAGAGAGAGAGACAGAGAGAAAGGTCTTCCTTTTCCGTTGGTTCACTCCCCAATGGCCACTGCGGCCGGCGCGCTGCACTGATCTGAAGCCAGGAGCCAGGTGCTTCTCCTGGTCTCCCACGGGGTGCAGGGCCCAAGGACTTGGGCCATGCTCCACTGCACTCCCTGGCCACAGTGGAGAGCTGGCCTGGAAGAGGGGCAACCGGGACAGAATCCGGCGCCCGGACCGGGACTAGAAGCCGGTGTGCCGGCACCGCAGGTGGAGGATTAGCCTAATGAGCCGCGGCACTGGCCAATAAACCCTTTTTTTAAAAAAGAAATAGGAATGTAGGTCACAGGATAACAACCAAATCAACGGACACAGTTATGGAGACGTTTCGGCCACTCTGAACGTGTTCATGGACCAACTCAGATCACAGCTCAAGCCTTGCTATGATAGCCGTGCCGTCCAGCACGTGGGAGATAACCATCCAGGGTTATTTAAAATGAATACACGATCAAACATATTCTTAGGGAAGGTTCAAGCTAGTGTCCTCACTGTTTTGGCTGACTACCAAAGAATAGCTTTGATTATGGATTCATTCTGAGCTCATAAACCGTTGAGCCTCTCCTACCTTGTCAGTGTTCCCATCTGTGAAATGGATCTGTGAGCCCTTCTCACAAACGAAGGCAGGTAAGAGGACCAGATGGGGTCTTGAAAGGGAACGCGCTGTGGACACTGAATATAATGACTGCAGGATCGTTAGAGCAAGCTCTGGTGGACTGAGCACAGGGAACGGAAAAAAGGGCTGGGCCACAGTGACACCTGCTGGTCAGTCCTCATATTGCTGGGCTCTCCTCCACTTCTGCCCTCTTCCAAACTTCATCAGTGGAAGGCTTTGTGGGTTTGCGTTTCTGGAGGAGAGACCCCCCACCTCTTGTGAGGATGGCAGGGCATGAGTGGAGCAATAGGGAGCAACCGGCAGGGGGCAACCAAAGACCAGGGACAGGACACTTGGCTGTGGGGGGTGTGGGGTGCTGGTCAGTTAGCATTGCCAGGTCTGCTCACTGCTCTCTGACCTCCCTGGGCCAGCCCCACTCCCACGGGAGAGTCCTTCCTGGTCCAGTGCACCACGTGGCTCCCCTTGGGGGGCCCCAGTGTCTGTGGTCTCCCCCACCTCGGAGTCCTTCCTGTCCCAGGATGCAGCTCTGTCCAGTGTGGACACTTCCAGCAGCAGTTCCCCCCTCCCTCCGTCGACCCAAGGGGCCAGCCCTTCATTCCCTCTCGCTGGCAACCAGGCAGAGCCATAACCTGAGCAGGTGAGGATCCCACGGCACTGGGGCTGGGTCATGGCCAAGATCCCCCTGGAGTTGGGCCCTGCTGGGTGCCCAGGACTGGTGCCTGTGGCCCCTGCTCCAGCCCCTCCTGTCCCATAGCAGCCATCGGGGCTCTCCGGCCACCAGTTGGGATTCAGCCGCTCTCCCACTGCTGTTGTGCCTGGAATCCCTCCCACCTGCCAGCCTTGGTTTCTCTTCCTGTGTGGCCCATAAGCTGCCCATAAGTCCTGC